CTAGACTGAAGAACAAAACGACAGCAACTTGTCTGTTCCCCTTCCCCCAGTTCCCCAGCACTGTTCCCATCCCCCAATTCCCCAATTTAAAAAAATCTTTAAAAAAAAAAATTCACATGGACCTAAGAACTGCCCTAAGGGGTTGAAAGAGGAGAAAGCTAAGGCACCAAGGGGCTAAGTGGCTTGTCCCCAATTCACACATTCATGTCGAACAGAGCTGAGCTTTTAAACCTTTAGCCCAAATTTCTGTTTCTCATGGTTACTGAGGGATACAGCGTATGGAAGGTGATGGGAAGGACTTGGGCATGATACGCTGAGCTTGGGGAAGGGGCAGGTGAGATTGCCCAGGAAGACTGTGGGGTCTCCTAGCTCCTAACTGCCCCCACTTACTTGGCGTAGGCCTTCTCCAACAGGGCGCTCCAGAATTCACTGCCCTCTTCGGAGTGCAGGAAAAGCAGCTCCCCATTCTTGGTGGGCAGCCTGTCGTCCACGACCACCTCCACCCACTCTCCGTACTGCCAGAACTGGGGGCGGGAAAACACAGCGGCTGCTCAAGGCAAGAAGCTGATGGGTGCAGTGAGTCTCTTCAGGGAACCTCAAGAGGCGCCTCTGTGAAGATCAGTGTTCAGTCTCGGGCCTTTCGTGAATTCGAAGCTCCTTAAGAGCAGGATCTGTCTTACTTATCCATGTACATAGTAGGGGCTGGAAAAAGCAGGCAACATCCAGTCCTGTGTCTGAGTTTGTGGATAAGAAAACCCGCCCAGCATCACACAGTGGTGACAGTGGGTGGCTCGGATCCACATCTCATGACACGCACTCCCTAGCCTTGCTTCAAGACCGTGAGCCCTGGGGGAGGTAGGAGACGGGTGGACGTGTGGGTGACTGAATGGCTGTGTGAAAGCAGCTGTTCTCAAACTCAAGTGTGCCTCAGAACCTCCTGGAGGGACTGTTAAAACACAGGGTGCTGCGCCCCAGCCCCAGAGCTCCCGAGTCAGTAGATCTGGGGTGAAACCTGACAGCAAGGAAAGTAGTGTCAAGGGCCGTGAGCAGGGCATGATACCTGAAAATGAAAGATTCCCGCATAGCTCTTCTGGAAATTCTGGTCCCTGGGGACCACCCGGTAAAGTAGCTCTTCATTCAAGGTGAGGGAGGCAATGGCCGCCAGGAGCCAGCAGTCACCTACACCAGGCCATGGAGGACACACACTGGTCAGGCTGGGCCTGCAGGGTCCCTGCTTTCTCTGACCCTCATTGTCCCACTCGATCCAGAGCCCATGTCACCCCTTTCCCTTCTAAGTCAAGTAGACTTTCTTCCTCCCATGTCTGAGCATGGGCAGCCATCAACTCCTGCTGTCTCAGTGGAAGTCGTGTACTTGGATTGAAAGTTCTCTGCTCCTCCCTATGGCCCCCCGAATGCTGACCATTTCACATCCCTAAGCACTCAACCAGTGAAGTAAAAAATGAAAGAAACAAACAAAACACACAAAAATAGGTCTCTTTGGTTCCTTATTAGCACCTCTGATAAAACATTTGGTTGGGGGAAACATTGGATCTGTGGCCAGCCCAGGATGTGTGTGTGTGTGTGTGTGTGTGTGTGTGCTTGTGAGTTCGTGTGTGTGTGTGTGTGCACGCATGCTTGTGTGTGCACGCATGCTTGTGTGTGCATGTGTGTGAGTGTGTGCTTGTGTGTGCATGTATGTATCCCTTGCCCTGCATGACCTTGGATGAGAGAAAGTTGGCTCTCCATGTTTGTTTAGAGGTCTGCCCTTTTGTGTTTCAGGGCTCACCATGACAGCCTTGATGCCTCATTGCTTATAACACTCTTGAGATATTGATTAGCATTACAGCATCATGATTTGAGGCAGAAGAAATAAAAGTCAAAAGTGGTTTAAAATTCTAGAGCTTGGTAATGGTCACTCCTGAGATCCACAAAATGCAAAAGACAGGAAACCCCTTTCCCTGAGGGATGGGACCTCCCAGACTTATGCCACTGAGTGGCACTTCTTTGGAAGGCATCATTGTCTCTTCTGATGTCAACCTCAAAAGATTAGGCACAGGCCCCAGATCCCCCTTGCTCACCTTCACATCCTGAGGTGGACCGATCATCCTGACAGTGATACCAACTTTTGTCACATCTGTTTATATACTTATTCTACACCAGTCTCTGAGATCTCAATGTCCTTACGTGGGCTTCTCATTGTATGAAAGGCTATTTCATTTTACTGGCCCAGTAGCTGCCTCTTTCCAGTTTCATGGCAGAGCCCTACTTCTAGGAGTCTAGGGTTTGCTGAACAAGTTTCTCCCACTCATTCAATCCAAATGGCTCCAAAATCCTGCCTGTGTGTCTCATCTTTCACCTTTTCCATATAAAAAAATCTGAATATCTCAGTGCATCTTCAGATGGGAGCCCCTTCTGCCTTTTAGAGACCTCCTGAGGACCTTGTCTAGCTCCACATTTTCCTTTAACACTAAGGCCAAAGCTGCATGCATAGTCCAGGGTTGGGAACACTCTGGTTGCCTGAGCAGGAAGTAAACTGTGGCCCAGGAACCCACCTCGGTGGATCTGTCATCTGCTCAGAACGGCTCCATCACCAGGTCATCCTAGAAAGTCCTTTGCTCCATCTGCCTTCTCTCCCAACAGAGTTTCATGATTTGGTGCCAAATTAATTCCTTTCCCCTCTCCTTTACCAAACCAACTTCATATTCTTTCTCGCGTGCTCTCTCTCTCTCTCTCTCTCTCTCTCTCTCTCTCTCTCTCACACACACACACACACACACACACACCAATCTTTCCGACTCCCATCTCTCACCAAGCTCCATTTCACTGACAATCAGGAGTCACAGGTGAGAAGAAACCTGGCAGCCAAGGGAGATAGGGTTCAGTCATGGGCTTTGGTTATACTTCTCACTTAAAATGACCCGAGGGGGCAGCATGTCATTAAAAGGCAATGTCCAAAGAGAGGACAAAACAGCACAGTGTCCTCCTTCCCGCCAGTATTCTTCCCATGAACACCTATGATCATGACATTCCCCTGCTCAAAAACCTTCAACATGCTCCATGCTTACGAACAAAATAAAAACTAAAATGGCCTCAAGACTCTTCACAATGTGCCTCCACCCCACTGCTCCAGGCTTTCTCCCATGGTAAATGGGAGAATCTAACCATGAATCTAATCTCCGGTCAAACTTGGATGTGCACAGAGTAGGCCCTGGTCCTTTCCCCTGCCATGCTTTTGGTCATTTGCTCCCTCTACTTGCAGAGGGCTCGCCACAGCACCACCTGGTGACTCTCTCCCCTCATCCACGAAGCCTTCTCTGCTGCCTCCCACCCTAGCTTCAAGTTGCCTCTTTTTCTCTGAGTTTCCTAAAGACCTTAGTTACACCTCTGTGTGCACTGATCTCAAGCTGCTTCAGATCATGATTATGAACCAGATCGGACTCAAAACCCCACTTGTGCATCAGCTACTAGGCGGGACTTTCTTGACCCAACCTCTGAGCTGCTTTCGTGCCCCATGTGCTCTTTCCTCAGACCCCCCCCCCTGCGCCTCCTTCAGTCACTCAAGCATGAACTGTCTCTCACGGCCACGCCTCTCCACTCTCTTCCTGCAGAGCAAAGATATGGATCCTTTCATCTTGGCATCCACAGCAGGTGGCTGGCACATAGTAGGGCTCCATGTTTGATGAATGAAAATAAGCAAGTGTCCGAATGAATGAACGAACCGTATTTTGTTCGTGTGCAAATCCCCAACAGCACCTGATGTGTTTGCACCCGAATCCACCTGGTGCGTGGGGCAATGGAGCCCAAGCAGGAGATGCATGAACCTGACAGATCCGACCGCCACCAAGATCAGGGGCCTTCGCCGCTAAAGCTCTGAACAGAGGGAGATAACAAAGGAAGACAATCAGAGGCACAGGCCTCTGGGGCGTGGACGGGGTGAGTGTTCTGCAGCCCTCTCTGAGCCAGGTGGCCCCTCACAGAGATCAGAGCAGCCACACGGCCCTTACGACTGGGCATAGCCTGCCTCTCTTCTGATAGGGACATTCTTGCTCTCAGCCAAAGCTGCTTCCAGCAGCCCACCTAGAACGCTCCTTAGATATTACAATTCCAGGCACGGGCATAAAATGTCCCTCAGCTGCTGACATCAAATAGGGCTGCCCAGCTGGAGGACACTTTAATTTTCTCTTCATCTGCCTCACTCCTGACATTTCACAGGGCCCACCTGGCTCTCACGGCAAGCACAGAGCTCTGAGGAGATGCAGTGGGTACGCGGGCTCTTGGATGCCTGCCAGCGATGATAGAAGGTGCAAATGGATTGTCATGGCAAAGACGCTTTTTATAAGAAACATATCCAAATGAGTGTGTTCCCCTTCAAAAAAAAAGCCCTCTTGGGAGAATAAACATTTACTCTGTGGCTTAAAATATTTCAGGAGCTTGTTTTGAGGACCTGCCTTCAAGCCTTGTGGCACGTTACTGGGGTTCTTCTCAGTGGGGACACGGCTTTGATCTTTGAGCACAATTTTAATTTTCAAAAGCAGCCCAGAGGCTTTGGGCCCAAGTTGAGCAGTAAATAAGGTAGACAAAACAAAGCTGGGAGATAATCTTGATGGGCAAGTTCCTCCTCCCCAGCCACCGCCAATGAGGACTGGTCATGGACTACACTTTTGGCTAATCAGGGAGGTAGAGGGGGGTCTTCAGGGTCACTGACGCCATGGTAAGTCGGGGAACCAGCTGAGCTTTGTTCTTCCTGGCCCTTGTTCAGGTTATATATGTAATGGGTTTCATATTTATTAAAATAATAAACTGAGTTTTTTGTTTGTTTGTTTGTTTTTGTTTTGTTTTTTTTAGCTGAGCCATTCTGCTACCTGTTGGCAGCTCAGCGGCTGCTCAGCTCGGGCTGGACTCGAGCCGCTGTTGCTCAGAGCTCACACTCTTGAGCGAGCTCTTAACCAACTGAGCCACTCGGCCGGCCCTTAAACTGAGTTTTTTTTATTCCACTCAAGTCATGATACCTAGAAACCCACCCCCCACCACCACCACCACCCACCCATTGCATCAAGGGGCTTCAGGGCTTCTAGAAAACAGACAGACCCCAATCACAACAATGAAGTCATTGGTCTGCTCTGTCAGGGAAAGTTTTAAGTCAATCAAGAAACAATCTTGAGTCAGGCTTTGTTAAAAAAGAAATCTCTGAATTCACAAATTCCCTTTACCTATTACAATCAAAGCTTGGAGGGCTGAGCATTTAGTGTTATTATAGGTCATGGGTAGCAAGAAGTCAGGCGATAACTTAAGGGAATCTCTCAAATACTAAGGAAGATGCTTCTGGGCTACAGAGAGAAGGAGAGGAGGGAAAGAAAGAGAAATGGCAGACATTTGAACCCCTTCCTCACCTTGAGGTCAAACGATGGCAGGAGTGGGAACAATAGTTTCAAACCCCAAGAGGAAGCCAAAGCAGAGAGGACTACAGTCTGTTTCCCACTGGGAACTTTGGGAGCAGAATAAAAATGGCAGCATAGAGTACTGAGCCTGAGAGAAGATGAAAGACAATGGCAAAGAGCGCCCCCTAGCGCTTCACAGGGTGACTGACTGCAGAAGCTGTGGTGACTGTGTGGGTCGGGGACTGGATGAAGTGTGTGACATGTCAGCGCACACTGAGATGGGCCTGAGTCAGCCAGGGAAGGTCCACTGGACCCTGATGGTACCAGGAGAACAGACTACACAATACGCCAGTCACATCTCCAGGAAACCAGCCAGGACCCAGCGGTCAGCACTGGTCATACAAGGACCCGCCAGCCCTTGTCTCACAGGCCGGAGGATACGTGGCCTTCTATGTATCTAGGTGCCATTTGGGGGAGGCCAGAGAGGGGCCTTTAAGAAGCAAGAAACCACCAAACAGAGCGACTGAATGATGAACATCTATCCAAAAGAGAGGAGAACCTAAAACAGGCAGAAGCGGAAATCCCTTTAATTGGCTACTTTATGTTTCCCTCCCACTCGTGGTCAGTGGAAATCAGGGACCCCCAGCAAACTGAGAACAGCCCAAGAGAATAAAGAACACTATGGTGCTGGCACATCTGCATGTCATGCAAAGATTTTTGCTAACATGTGCTTGTCGTGTAAAACTCCACCTTCAATATTGGATCACAGCTGAGGCCTCCTTCACCTGCTCTTCGGTACAA